TAAAGAAATTAATTCGCAAATGGTAATTGAATTTATGAATGATTTTGTTTGTGAAAAAAGGGAAAGTTTCTATTTTTTATATTTTTTATCCTGCGTTTAATATTTTTTTATAAATAACTCAAGATAGCAAACATGCCTAATACTCCTTTCTCCTATTTTTCTCCACAACAACACCCCTGTGAGGTGAGTTAGCTGAAAGACAATGATGGGGCCAAAGTCACTCAACCGGTTTTCATGTGAATACTAATATCCCAGAAAAATATTTCTGGGTAGGGTTTTCATTTTATTTTTTACTATACAGAGAGGGTCAGAAACCTACAGTATGTTAGTAGTTTTTAAAATTGTTATACAGCAATCAATTACATTTCAGTAGAACTGATAAAAATTTCACTTGGTGAATCTGGCAATGTTGCTCCAATTTTGTTATGAATTTAACACAACTAGAAATATTTGTTTTTCCTCATAAAATAATTAAAACAAGATACTTGAATTTTATAAAAACCTCATGTGAACAAAATACAGTGGGCTCAGCATGAAAATGCTGTTTTAAGTCACATCATAGAAACAGTTTTGATACTGAGCAATATTAAACATATGGCAAACTGAAAACAAAGCAAGTGCTAACACAGAACAACATCAGAATCACACGTAATCAAAACTATTAATTTTATCAGGATATTGCCAACAGTTCATTATTATCTTATACTGGATTTCATGTACTGTTGCCCAGAATTTGGCTATATTGTATATACTGCTTGGGTGCCCATTATGAAGGCAGCATAGTAATTGGCTATAGTTGGTGATCTGCATGTCTCCATAAAAATTCATAATAAAATAAGATAAATCACTCTGCTTACCAAATAAGGATACATTTATTTCTCATAAGGAATTTTATTAACTGGCCATCCCACAAGGTAAATCACAATATATTAAGAGAAGATTCTGTGATATGTAGGCATTACCAAAATAGATAGTTAGCCAATTGCAATATGTAACATATTTTGCATTTATCCTCCTAATGTTCCTAATGCCTTTCCATATGTGGCCTCTAAAATAGCAGGTATGAAGACTTACAACATAAGAAATCTAAATGTTATTTGAAATGTTAACTTGGGAAAAACATCAAATAGAATTAGACATGATTCTATATAAATCAAAAGAAATTTGAAATTTGAGAAACAAGAAGAACAGACTGAATGGAAGATAAACACATCAGGACAATTATGGGGATTTGGAATAATAGGGAGATGATTTAAGGAATACAAATGGGCTAGCCCTTCCAAAAATGACAACTAAATGGTCTCTCTTATTCCAAACAATATATATAACAATAGAGGGAGACCTATTTGATGATTTAAAAGCATTGATATGAAAGACTAGTTGGCAAAGAAAGAAAGCCAAAATAAGGCTGAAGAAAATTGGGGTTTTGATTTATCAGAGGGGATTTCATATTACTAATTAGAGGGTCAAAGGGAGAAGTTGAGATAAGGGAAATTTTGGTCATTAAATTTAAAACATTTGGAAATGAATTGAAAATAAAGATGCTATTTGTTTAATACTTAAAAATTAGACTTAAAAGAAAAAAATATTATGAATATGTTTGATTTATTGATTAACTCAGATAATATATATAATAGGCTTTGATTTATTAAAGAGGATACTGTATTATTAATTAGATGATGTAAAATGGGGGGAAATAGATAACTTTTAGGAAATAGAAAAAGATTATACCCAAATAGATAAGATGTGTATTTTGAATATTAGATTCTGTTATGAATTGAGATAAAGGAAACTTTGGTTACCTAAAACCTGGAAATTTTAAATATCAAATGTTAAATTTGAATATTGATGGGAAATTAAAAATTGGGAAAAACCAATAACAGGACATTGATTGAATGTAAAAGTAATTAAGATATGTATAAGCTAAAAATTTATTGATAAATGTAATAATGATGTTTTTATTTAGTTGATATAAATAAGAACTGTATTAGCTTAAATATGAGATAGTAGATAGTAAGGGAAAAAGAGAGGAAATATTTGAAGTTGTAGTTTGAGATTTGTACTAAAGATTTTTGTATATTACTGAACTATTGATTAACCCCGCCACCACGTTGCTTTTTAAATACCTAAATGTAAAATTAGAAAATTAATAAAAATATTATTAAAAAAAAGAATTAGACATGATGTTTCTATGGCAGGCATGTCAAATTGCCGGCCCGTGTGCCGGATGCATCACCCGAAACCACACCCACCCCATTGCTGGCAATGGTGAAAAAGTCACGATACGTTGCGTGACGTCGCGAGTTTGACATGCCTGTTCTATAGCAAGACAGAGGATTTGTTGAAGTCCTGCTTGGGATATATCAATTAAGATAAATAGGATTTTGAATTTTAAAAATCCAGTTAAGTGCAAATTGCACAATACAATGGTATAGTCTGACTTCCACTACATATATCTGTATGCTTGCTAATCTGCTTCATAAAACTAATGGAGAAGCCAAGGCAGATTTTTTTCAGGATGCTGCACATCCTGTATAGAAAGATGAAATTATATTGCACAACTAGAAATCCATTATAATATACCGAACAGGCTTTTTTGGTAAGCTAGAAGTAAGTGAAGTTCCATTTCAGTGGGTTTATTCTAAATTTGACTAAATGATGGGCCAACTAATTATTAGTCTGTTCTGAACTTGCCAAATCACTGTTCTTGCTTTCATGCTATGCAGAAAAACATAAAGAGGAATTAAGAACAAAGTTCCAAACGTTTTAGCCTCAAATTAAATCTAGCTAACTGTGTTCCATTGATTCTAATAGTTCCAAAGAAAGGGAATCAAAATATTTCTAATCTGCATTAGGATAGCAATGAAAATGAAATGACAAAATAATATATAGAAAGGTTAATAACTTAGCAGGAAAGGAGAGGCTGAGAAAGTGACAGATGGGTGGAGTTAATGAGATCTGAAAAAAAAGAAAGATGAGAAATTTAAAAGACAGAAGATAATATATAAAGTGGTATGTGGATGTGAGGAAAACAAGAATTGTTTGTAAGTGTAGAAGTATGCAACATTTTTAGGTCTTTGAATGATATGCCTGGAGAATTTTCCAAAGTTTGTAGAGCCACAATCAAGAAATAGACATGGTCAGATTAAAAACTAAATTTGATTTGTTATAAAGTTATCAACATTAAATTTAACCACTATTTCTATATTTAATAATTTTATAGCAGCTAGATTTGGAGGAAGTCTGCATATTATTCAAGCGCCTCAATCTGGGCCATATAACCACATGTATCCAGGAACATTATCTATAGTTACAGACTGAGATTTCAATGGCCTTTTCCTGGTTGCAGCTATGTGGCCATGCTCCTAATGATTCCTCATGAAGACATTTCATTTAAAATGATGTATTGACTTGCTTTCCATTTGGTACATTGGCTGAAGGAGCCGGTCTAGAATCAGGAGACAATGAATTTTAGTGCTATCTTAGGCATATATGCCAGTTAGATGAATCTGGACAGTCACTCTCAGTTAGATCTTGGAAGAAGGCAATAGCAGACACTTCCAAAAAGTGTTGCCAAGACAACTAATCACCAGGAGGTAAGACTTTTTAAAAACATTTTTTTAAAAAAACTTGCATTATCATCTGAAACTACAAAAAAAAAAAGAATTTTATTTGGTGATGAGCATTTATTAATGTAACATTCTATTCTGAAATATAATTATGAAATACAATTGCCGGGAAAGGGTTAATGATGTTATTTTTAAATGGCATATGAGATTAGTGTGAAAAAACAGAACTTTTCAAGAAAATTGTTATATTTCACTATTGTACTACACTGGGAAAGGAACATTGGTCTATTATGATAGACACTGAATAATTTTCATTTCTTAATTCACTTTAAACATAAATGCTAGTTTATACCATATAGATGCAATCCACATATACTAAAGAAAATATGCTCCTGGATATATTTGGGAATCTGCCTTCCTTTTTAATTCTTTTTTGTTATTAAGCAACTGTTCGCATACATTAATGTATAATGCCTTGAAGGACTCTCTGACTAGTTCTGAAAGTGGTAAATAAACCCAATCGCTATAGATAATATATCATAGGGTCATTGCAGGAGAAGACATAGGTGCTTTAGAGGCAGTGTTTGTGCCATTGGGTGCTCAATTTAATTGAATCCAGAATGCTGAGCAATTCTAGTGTTTCATTCTTAGAAGAGGCTGAACATACAGGTAGTCCTCAAATTACAACTACAACTGAGCCCAACATTTCTGTTGCTAAGCAAGGCAAATGTTACTTGAGTTTTTTCCCATTTTACTACATTTTTTTACCACAGTTGTTAAGTGAATCACTGTACTTGTTAAGTATTCATGTGGTCATTAAATGAATCTGACTTCTCCCATTGGCTTTGCTTATCTGAAGCTGTCTTGGAAGATTATATAAGACCCCGGGAGGGTGCAACTGTCATAAATACATGCCAGTTGCCAATCGACCAAATTTTGGTCACATGGTCACAGGGATACTACAATGATCGTAAGTGTGAAAACTGGTCATAAGTCACTTTTGCTAGTGCTGTTGTAATTCCAAATTGTCACTAAATGAATGATTGTAAATCAGGTACTATCTGTACTACTTTTATACAGCCATATTACACAGACCAATGTAAGATCTTCAATCATTATCACTTGTGACATCAAAGTGCTATGTCATAATAGATGTAGATAAACCTATGGCTGTCTAGCCAGCTTTTTTAACTGCATCATATTAATTTGTTTAAAACAAAGAAAAAAAATGCCTCTCTTTTTTAAAATACTAATTTGGATTTTATGCACTTTTTACTCACTTTGATGTAGAACCTAGGTATATTTGTCTAATCTGTAACAAAAGTGACGTACAAAATGCCTGCAAAAAAGTATATTTGTCCCCTTCTTCTGGTCCCATAACCCTAAATATCTTAAAAATGGGTGCTTTGAAGATTTATATTGAATACCTACCGGAGAAAATCCTGGAGGGTAAAGATCCTCCCCCTGACAAAGGATGTGGGGCTGCAATGTTATTTAAGAATCCTTCCCTCAGGAATCTTGGGCAAAGAGACTGGAACCCAATGGCCGGGAATGGTCCTTATGAAAGATAAAAATTGTCATTAATTATAGGCAGTAATTTTGGTTGCTGAAAAGAAACTGTTTCCAATAGAGACAGAGTATGAAAATATGAAAGTTTAATTATTAATTTACAACCAGTTGTATAATCAGCTCATGTCTGTCAAACAGATATTACTCCAAGGATTAAGTTTCATTTTGGTGCCACATTTTAATTGAGGAAAATGTGAGATTTGGAGAAACATCTTTTACTATTATCAGCTTGATTAACTGTATTTTTGTAGTTTTTCATTTATTTTATTTTCCATTTTTGTTTTTTTCTATTTCTTCCTGTAAAATTTATTAACATAAATAAAAATGAAAAACCACATAATGCTAGGCAAGAAACCATGGTTTACCAATCATTCTAGCACTGCTGACAGATTTTATTAGGCTAAAGCAAGCCAATAAATTTTCATTTTATGCAATGTATGAATTCACTATTGTAGATGCCATTCATTAAAACCTCTCCAATGTTTACCACCATCTTTTTTTTCCCTTATAGATAAACAGGCAAAGTCAGAACATTTTCAGTGATTATAAACTACATTTTCAATTTGGTTTAAAATACCAATTTCTAACCAATATTTGGATATTATGAGAAACCAGGAAATCTTCTTATTGTTCCATCATACTGTAACAGGTTGGAACAATAATAATCAGAAGAGTTCATAGATTCTGCAAACATCAAAATATTAATAAGGTCCGCTAATGAAAATTAGTATACAGTTTGTACATATTGAAAAGTCATGGATAGTAAACCGCTATTTGAGTTGAGTAAAAAATACAGAAAGCCATAATTATGTATGCCTTATTTGAATTTAATTATTACTATCAGTCATAGGGATTCCCAAATATTCTGTATAATTATACATTTGGAATTTTGGAAACACTTGAAAAAAATCAAATCTAATAAGACAGCATATAACATTTATTTGGAGACATTGCCAATGATAATTTGAGCAGAAAAATAGCTCCCCCCCTCTATTGTACATACTACCAGGGCTTTTTTTCTCATAGAACGCCCAGAACAGAGTTCTGGCACATTTTTTGGATGGAACCTTATAGGGTAGGCAAGGAGGGTTGTATGATGTGTGTGAGTTCCGGCACCTTTTTTTTTTTTTTTAAAGAAAAAAAGCACTGCATACTACATAAGGAAACTGCAAGTTCACAGCCTTCTTATCGTGTAGGATTTAACTCTCTTTGTCTTCCTCCCAGAGTTTGATTAAAAAATTTTCAGATGCTTGTTGTTATGCTTTTAATGACTTTTTTGTTTTTTATTTTTTGCAAATAAAACCTCTCACATTTGGTTCAGTCTGGATACCACCATTGATTGAGAGTTAATTATAGGAGGATTTGGTGACTCATTTTGTTAGACTGAATCAATTTGCGACTTGTGACTGCCAAAGATGTAGGCTGATTATTTGGAGCAGTAAATTCCATCACTTATCCATTAGATCTTTACCCAATTTGGTTTGTAACTTCTAGGTGGCAGGTTATTAGAGATACCTTAATTTCCCTGATTGCCTGGTTTATATTTAGTAGTGGGTTGAAAAACGGATAGTAAATTGAAACTGAATCCAGACATGTCAGAGGTGTTCATTATGAATGGGTGTATTCCACAGAGGTAATAGACATTGTTCTTCTGAACTGGGCTACAATTGTCCTAGAAAGAACAAATGTTCACATAGGGCTGTTTCTGGATTCAACTGTCTCTCTGGTTGCGAGAGTCAGGAGTACCCTTTATCAGCTTTGGTTGCTACAACGGTGTGTCTTTTCCTGCAACAAAATGACCTTAATACTGTGAGCCACATGCTGGTAACTTTTAGATATGAGTACCATAGCACACTTTACATGACTTTTGTATTTAACATGAATACCTCAATTAATGTCAAATTTAGCAACGAGGTTGATTTCTAAGAAACCACTCTATGCTGTAGTGAAAATATAGCATTGCACCTGTTACAAATTTGTTTTAGCAAAAAAAGTGCTAGTTAAGTGGAAGAATGAATCTTTCTATATGAAGTCATACCCCTGATCACTGAGATCATATTAGCAGGCTACAGTGCCATAGGCTCATCTCATAATGTATTGAGCTTTTTCTCTTTATCTGCCACAATTCTTTGTAACCCATTCACTAAGTTAAATGGCTTAATCTCTTTATTCATTTTTCAAAAGCCTTCTAGCAATTTTTAATTATTGATTTTAATTTTATCATGACTGGATTAATTGTGATTTGATGTTTTACAATTGTAAATCACCAAGAGACCTCAGTAGGCAGTATAAATCAAATGAAAGAAAGAAAGAAAGAAAGAAAGGAAGGAAGGAAGAAAGAAAGAGAAAGAAAGAAAATATAACAGCAAAGTCCTGCAAGACTCACATTCCGGTGTTATTGCAGTACAAAGGACAATAATCAATGTAGGAAAATGCTGAAATGCACAGATTTAAAACCTTCTATTCAATATTAGATGCTTATGTCTTAACCAAAAACATGAAAGAGGAGACATGGGAACAAAATTCCACATTAAGGGTAATTTACATTACAGTCTAAACTGCTTGTTTGTCACATTGTTCCTGGCTGCTTCTGAAGCTTATTTCATCAGTTCAGATCTGGATTGCAGTGCATTGGCAAAGAGGTCTGGCTGAAGATGTGATTGGTTGTTCCCTTATTAGTAAAGATAAATCTGCCCTGTGACAAAGATCTGTGTTTAATCAAATACTGAAGTTCATGATATTTTTCTGTAATTCATATATCAGAAATTACTTTGGTGAAGAAGAGAAAGATTCCCTGGCTTAAAACCAAAAGATGAAAGGCATGGAATGTCAGGTGGGCTTTGAACTTTCATTAATTAGAGTATATTTTTGGAGAATTTGAACTCTGGACCATCGGTCTTAATTCAGGACTTCACCCCTGACTATTTTGATTCTTTGTTCAATCTAATCTTTTATTCATAGACCTCTACTCATATTTTTTTCCTGCCAATTATGGGTAGATGTGATGAAATTACATCATTGTCTTCTCCACAAAGAGAGAAATTAGAAAAGAACCTTTTATTCCTAGAAAAACATAAGGCACTTATTTTGTATTTAAAATGATTCTTTTTATTAATTGAGACTCCACCCTATTTTGAGTTTTCAAAGCCAAAATCAATCTCTATGAGCCAGAGCACTGTGTTTCCCCTTAAACTAAAAAAATTATGGCTGTTGCTGATTTGGTGGGATTTATTCCATCCTGTGTAAAATCAAATCTGTTTTGGACTGATTCTAATATGCAGGAGATCAGTTGACAGGGTGAGTTGATCTCTTTTTGGCATAATCTTAATAGCCTTCATTGATCAAGTTCATTAAGAATATTGTGAGACTAAGTTATTGTCTTTCTTGGGTGTGCTGGTGAAGCTTCACCAAGCAGTTCCCAGCTGTCTCTTTTGATTATCACAAAGAACTTGGTATAGAAAACTATGGGCTAATTAAAAAGAATATTATAACACTACCATTTCCAATCTTCAAATATCTAGACAGCTACCAGAGCATAGCATGAAATATAGAAAATGTACAGTTATGATAGTCCTAAGGAAGGTCTGAAAGATTAATCCACTGTAATTGTATCTGCACAATATGCATGTATAAGGCCAGACTATTGAGTACTTGCTCACGTCACACCAGCTGTCCATTTTTTTTGACACTTACATTTCTGCACCAGTCATATTAGGTAGGATAAAATAATTAGTGTGTGAAGAACAGAGAGAAGGGAATCTGGATTATTTTCCTTTACTATTTAACCTTTAGCCATTTCTTTTAGAAGGCTCAAGGATAAATTTTATTAAGTAGAAATTTACTTCTGGCTAAGAGTAGATAATATGGCACTCTCTGAAATCAATCATCTGACTCATTAAAAGGAAGTTTCCTATGTTCCTGGGAACTCTTTGTTTGTATACAGAATGTTTATGTTTAGTTGATCAGTTGATAACCTTAAAAGTCACAGAGTATAAATATTTCACATTTAATAGCATTCGAATTGTAGCTACATGGTGACATCATCGGCAGCATAGTGAATGTCACTCTACTTTCTTTTTGTTGTAGATGCCAAAAACTATCCTATTTTATCTGCCACTATTCAGCAACACTTATCAAAATGTATTAGAAAGTTATCCCCCTTGAACCCAATAGAATATATTTGTATATAAACAGCCACATTCTAATTTTAGTGCCAAAAGTATTTAGGAAAACGAATAAGAAATTAGGAAAATGGGAAAGGTGCCATTTTATGGTTGTAAAAAAAAATCAAACAAACCTATACTATTAATGGATGATTACATTAACTGTAGCAAATAAAGAGATAATAAGTTGTATGGTTTCCCTCTGCTTAATATTAATAGGCATATGGTACAAGGCTTTTTATGCCTATGAAATTCTTCTCAAGTGGAATTATGATTGGACAAATGAAGGAAAGAACAAAATGTGACTCTCTACAAATCTTACAGTGTTATCAAGCATGGCAGCAGCTTATGAGACAACTTGTAAGTCTTCCCAAATATCAGGGAAAACCCTATTAATCAGTCTTATTTTTTTAAAATGAAGAAATTCATCTAAAATATCTGCCTATTGATTACTTTAGAAAACCCCAGTTGCAGTTTGTATTGATGTTGACTTCTAATTGGGGGTTGGGGTGGTGAAGAGGAAATGCCAGGAAGTTTAATAACACATTTTGCTTCCTCTGGCTTCTGCTTCCATTATTTTCAAGCTGAACTGCATGTTTGTTCCTCAGAGACAGCCAACACCTGCCTCTCATTATAATCAGGAAAGAAGCAAGCTCCTTCATCTTCATGAGATGTAATTTTGCAGTGATTAACAGAAATGAAAAAAAAAAAAATCCCAGGAAGAAAAATCAACTAAAATATAATTCATTTATATATTCCAAAGTTTACTTAGGCACAGTGACAAAAAGTAATGTTAGCTTTATGTAAATTTGGAAACACATAAAT